CCGCCTGCCGCCTTCACCTCAAAACCAATAGACTAGACGTAGAGTAAGAAGGGCAGAAGAAGATAGATTTGAGACTCTCAGATCCAAGGAGAGTGCTCTCAGACTCGCGTGAGAGGGCCTTGTTTCCTTGACACGCCTGAGGGCCCCGCAATGGTAGCCAAGCAGCAACGGTTTGGTCACCTCCGAAGTCAAACTATCGAAGTCAAGTCTCTGACGACTTCCTAATTCTCAGCAATAGCCTCCCTTGCTAACGAGCTTGCCCCTGTTGTGCTGTCTTCAAGGCTGACTAAGACAGGCCACTCATCGTCGGTGTACGGCAGCATCGTGCAATAATGGGCTTAGCACTTCGCAGCAATTGCACAGTAATGGTACGGAGCTCAAACGTAGTAGCAACATCTGCAAGCACCAGCATCCCCCAATAAAACGTACAACAATGAGGTGTTCGGCAGCTGGCGGCGGAGAAAAGTGGCTCCTTCCGCTCTTGATGCTCAGACTCCAGCCACGATTGTCAGCACCAATCAGCCGGAAGGTATATAGCGCCAGCGCCTCTGGCTGCAACTGCGTAGAGAGTATAGTCACCTCCGTGGCCGGAGGATGGTCCGCCTGAGTCCGCTGGTCGTGTTCGCTGCCCAAGCATGACACACTCGCACCCGTTGAGGCTAGAGTCCAATGTCTTCACGGCTTTAACTTAGAGTTCAAGGCTCGTGTCTACATCCCCCTCACCAGCCTCAGCTTCAGTAACGGCCTTCCTACGACGGGCAACGCACTCGTACGGATCATGAAGCCGGTCAATACGCCCATACAAGCCGCGTCAGCAAGCAACCGCCCGCGACAACTGTCCTCACAGTTCTCCGCTCAGTCGCGGCCCTCTAGGTAAGCTCTCACACCTCGTTGCCCACTTCCCATTGTTTTTACCGAAGGGAGAAGCACATCGAATGAATCCTCCGCTAGAGGCTGACTGGGTACATGCGCGCAAAAAGATAGGGAGGCACTACTCCCATCGTTAGGAGCAATCATACCGGCCAAACAAGTACGTCCCCAACCTTGCTACTACCCTCTCATTCACTGCAACAATGGCTAAGCAAGGAAGGAAAATCGAATGAATCTCCTGTTCGATAACGGGCAGGTTCATTCGCCGTCCCGGTTCCCTCCACGCGTGCAGCTTCGGCAAGTCGCAGCGGTAGGACCTCCTCGCAGATTATGAGTCTAGACTCACTGCTGGCCTACAACCCTCAAGAAGCCCCAAGCGAATCTCTATTCACCCGTTCTCATAGCAAATCAGGTGAGTTAGTCATCGCCCACGCCCTTATTATGGTCGCCTTCTCCTTCTCTCCGCGCAGTTTGTTCTTCCTCTACCTCCCTTCCTACTAACTCTGTAATTAATCTAACCGTGGATTCTGGATCGCCCTCCCCCAAAACCCCAGTTTCGACTCCTCCCCCGCCTGATCTCATCAAGAAACAAGTGAGTCACTCGATCTTTCACTCCCACCACCTTCGCTCGTTTGATCTCACCGCGCAATGCTTTTCCTATCTACTCCAAACCTACTAACCTATCACTAAAACTAACACTACCATCTGATTCGCCCGGGGTAAAAACCCTGGGATCGCCTTTTCTCTTTCTCGTTTCCGTTCGGAATCGAGAGTGCTATGCATTTTCGACCGTGCCCAGCTCTTCCCTCCGCCATCCCCCTTTGCTGTCTCCCCGTATCGAATGCATCTGTCCCGAACTGACGCCCAGGTTCGCCCCACCTGCTGCTGCGCAGCGCTGCTCGTTCACTCCGCTGCCTGCTCTCCGTCAGCCAGTCGTCCACCAGCCCGTCCTTTTTCGTCCGCTTCGTAGCACTCTGTGACGATCGCTCCTACCGCAACATGCGGTCCTACAGCCTCCCATAACTCACCATCTGCTCCCGTTGCCTTACTGTCTTCTTCACCATCACCCTCCTGTCGACATCACCCCGGTCCTCCGATATTGCGCGGTCCTACGGTCATTCAGGTGTCAGAAAAGAAAAAGCGCCCGATAGCCGGACCTTTTCTTTATTTATGTGTGTCATCCTTGCGAAGGTGTTGTGCTAATCTTCTCTGTATCATTCCAATTTTTATCGGATATCCCGAAGGACTCAATCGGGGCAATGCCCCTCAATACTACTAAAGGCCACATGACCCTTGCGCCAGGCCACATGACCCTTGCGCCGGGCCTCCTAGTAAAGGGCCATCATGATTCCCCCCCCTGCCTGGGCCGGACCGCGGCCCGCATTCCAACCGTTCATAGGTGTACCCACCGAGTTAGGCTTTTGGGTCAGCGGCCGGTCCCGGAACCGGTATCGGACTCTCCAAAAAAAGTGGGACCGATGGGTAGGGAAGGAAAACCCAGCGGTACTTCCTCGGTCTTGCCAGGCGGGCCCGCGATCGGACTCCCCAGGAAAAACTGAGGGGGATAGTCCCGCGGGACCCTCAACCCTTCAACTTCCTTTCAAAGCTCCACCACTCCTACGCTATTGCCCGCTGGCCTCGATCCCCGCACCTCCGTATCATGAGTCCAATGTCGTAACCTATAGGGCTAAGCCCAAGCCTGAGACCAGCGTGCGCAGACTCCTATATAAAGCGGTGCATCACGATGCTCGGGGCCGAAAAACGTGGCCTGGGCCTCATCTCCGCCTACAACCAAGCGTGCGGCCGTTAAACACCCCCGCCGGCTTACTCCAACTAGGCCACAGCGGCCACGCGCCCCCTCCCGCACACCAAACCTACCGCCGGTCAATCGTGCAGGACAATGCCCAAGCCTTTTAATCCCCCGTCTAATTGGTAATAAAAATCAAGTCATTTGGCTATGCCGGCTGCACAATCAAATACAAAGGAAGGAGTCACATGCGCGCCTTAAACTGCACGCTCACTCACGCTTCTTAGTCGAACAATCCTTAGTCTGCGTACAGATGACCACCACATTCCGCGCTGATATTCCAAAATTTCCAAATTAATAAACTTTTTGTCACTTGTAAAAAAACAGGGCGGATACCCTTGTTAGGGTATTGGCACCGACAACTTACCAGACCATATTAAGCGACGTCCCCGTCGCTTCGCCAAATCAGAAAGCTATAAATTCATCCATACTCCAAATGCTGACGAGAAAGGAACCAATCCGATTAGCCGACAGACTCAAGTTCGAGGCCTCCATCAAACCGTGCCAACACAACTATATGCCGCCAGGGTTTTAACCTGGGTTTCCATTGTCCTTACACTAGGACGCCGGTGTACTACGCATCGGTACTACAACATAAGTTCCAAAGGCCCTCACAATCGTCCTCTCCCCTTTGTCCTAGACAAACGTCGGCTTCTCGTTGAGTGTCCTAGTTAGTCTCTTCCCTGTAAGGAGAGCCATAACTAGGGACGAGGGCCTTAACTGAGACCTTAGAAGACACTCCCGCCTTCCTTCCGAAAATCCTCGCAATCAATCACATATACATGCATATATGCACTTAAATCTCATCTCAGCTCTTTCTGCAGTCTCGTACAAAAATGCTAGGTCTCCATCCTGGCCCACCATAGTCTGGTTGATCGAGCCAGATCTACGGCCCACCACATTGTTATCTTAGCGGCAGTGCCCTCGCTGGTTACGCAACGGTAGGCTTTCTCCTGATAAGCATGCAATCAGGACTACACAAATGACTTCGACAGACTTGACTCATATCCCCCGCTATCCCGCCGGAGTAATTCCCTGAGGCGTGCATACCCCTTAAACTCTTACCCCTTCGGTAGACGTGGGCCCGCCGCCAGGTTGTGCCGGTCAGCAGCCATTCCCTAGGGGTTGCGCCCTAGCGGCACTAAACTTCACCGTTTAGCTTGGTCTTTCTCAATATGCCTTAGGATTAGCACAAGTGTGTAGACGGTGCGTCGCAAAACAGACCACAGGCCCACTGCGGGACTACGCAGGGGTCTGTCTCACTTTTAAAGGTGTTTACCAGCTCCCTATGGGACAGCATAGACAACACGGCACCCTTCTCACAATCACAAACAAAATCACCGTCAGGTTCACAAGGTCGTGGTCCCCTGACCTGATCAGAGACAGCCAACCGCACATCCTAATAACATCTACCAAATGCACTGACTTGCGACATGCTCAGTTCCACCAATAATCCAAGCCGTTTGGTCCTTCTCGTCAGACTTTATCGACTCAAACCCTGCTTTGCATGCCATTAAATCTTTTACCCACCTTTAACTTTTTAAAGGTGCCTCTCACAATAGGTCTCTCAGCCACCCCCTCCTTTTCTGGGATAAACTTTCACACGACCTTTTTAAAACACCTTCCTTTTGAAGATGAGTCTTCCAATAAACAATATTACCACCTTCCCAATCTGAAGGGGTCTCAACCATAAAACAACTCAAACTGAGAGACCAACTTATGGGTCCTCTTCACAACTCAACAATAAACATTTGGCATGGTAAAGCATCCGAGCCCCAGAGGCTCATAAATCCCGTAGGATTCTCACAATCTTTCACAAACAGGCTGCACCCCCCTCCTTATACTCTGCCCCATCGTCTGCTCGTAAGCAGGTCGCATGAGTATACCGAAGAGTAGACAGCTTTACAGTTTCACATTCATAAACAAATGAGATGCTTCCCACACATCTCTCACACAAAGCCATCATACAAATGGATAAAGCCACACATGTGAGAGTGATGGTGATCGTCATAAAGACAAGCCTCATAAGGTCTCAACTCATAGTACACTCAGGAGCAGAATGTCCCCCTCAAAGACTCAATACAAGTCCTCAGCTCATCGTCCTACTCATCTGAGTAGAGCTCACGTCCTCGATGTACAAAGTCACACAATATACTCAAAGATACAAATGAATCTCAATCACACAAGTCACAACGTAACTGCGTACTCACACATGTCATTCAATCTGAATGGCATTTCCTAAATCTCACAAACAAAAAAATCCCCAAGCCCATCAAGTACCATAACCTACATACGTACAATTAGACAGGACTCCCGCGACTGACTCAGGGTATACACAACTCTAACCCATCTTTTATGTACAAAGAGTCGTAACCCTACTGGCCTATAGACAAACCAACCCCTACTCACTCATCTCCTCCTGGTTTTGCCTATACAGCTGAGCTCTACCCCCATCTGCAGTCCGCTCTACTATTCTACCCTGTCTATCGTACATCCTCCCATCCCTCTCAGTAACTCTTCCTGCAGCCTTATCCTCGAGGAACTTCGGACACTCAAGAGCCCTGTGCATGCCGTCTTGGAAATAGAAACAAATATTTTTCGACTTTCTCTGAAACTTCTTCTTCTTCTTCCCATGTGGATCTGAGGACTGGGAAGCGACTGTCATGGCTGGATGGCTCGTGGCCTCCTGCTGCTGCTGCCCAGAGACATGCCCTCTTGAATATGTCCCTGTGGCCCAAGAACCCAACTGGGCCCTCAACTCTCCCATCTCTGGCACGCGCTCGGGAGTATCCAGTCTCTGAGGTCTCTCTAGTGGCATATCCACCTCCATTGCGGCTACCAGCTCGTCCAGACGCGACCCCTCCCTCTTTTCCGCCTCAGGCTGAGTAGGTACCACTGCCCCTGTAAGGATACCTCCCTGTACTTCCAGCAGGATCGCAAGGGACTCCTCTGCAGACCCTTCCTCAGCAGGTGGAGGCTGAGGTCCCTGAGTTGGCCTCTCAGCAAGGACCTCAAAAGATATAGGGGTCGCCTGTTGTGAGGCCAGCTCAGTAGGGGTCCTGAAACTAAAGCTCCCCTCTTCGGCCTTCCTCTTCATTTCTGCCTCAGTTGGTTCCAGGAATACCTTTTTCAACCTTTCCTGTTGAGACGGCTCTGCTGCCCCTCTCTGGCCAAACAGTCCCTGCATTCCCTCACCTCGGATGCCGTATCTACTCTGCTCAGTCCAATCGACCACCTTGGTGGCCGAAAGCCTCTCTACTGCAACCGCTATATCTTGGAGCTTCTTCTCCCATTCAACTTCCTTGGCTTCCATATGTGCCCTCCAGGCCAGGTTCTCAGCCTTTTCTTCTGCAAGATGAGTAGTCAGTTGTTCCACCTCCATCTTTCTGATCGCCAGCTCGTCACTAAGCAGAGAATACCTATGGAAGGAAGTGGTTGCTGCCTGGCGTATCCTCCTATCCACTCGCTCAATTGCCATCCTGGCGGCGGAAAGTCCCAAATCTCTTGTCTCTCTTCCCTCATTCGCCTTCTCATCTGCCTGCCCCGTCCCTTTCGACCTCTGGCGGGCTGCATCCCTCCTGCTCTCGTACTTGAACCACATCTCGTCGATCTTTTGCTCACTTGTCCTGGGATCGACTGGCGATGCCGACTCTACCCCTGCAGCCTCCATCTCGACTTTTTTTTCGTATATCTCAGCTAGGCGTGCTTGCACCCTAGCAGACTTCTCCTCCGCAGTTTCTCTCTGTGGCCTCCCCGCCTGCGCTCCTTGGGTACCTCGAGCAAGAGTCTTGGTACCTTTCCCTCTCTCAGCATGCGGCGACCCTAGGGATGGTTCACTCGGGGCGGGCACCTTAATATCAGGGTGTTCAGACGCGTGCGCGGCCAGCCGCGAATCAATGGTCGCGCAGGTCTCATCTCTCCCCCCCTCCTCTAACCTCTTCATCGTTTCCACCTGTTTGGGCGACGTAATAACCTCCTGTGGGGGCGCTGGAACCTCACCACTTTCTGGT